TCAGCTAAAAATAACAGAAGCAAACAACAAATAAAATTATGAGCCGAAATTTGCACACCTTTACCCAAACCTCCCCAACACACACACACACACAGCCATTTTTCCTCTAATAACCAAATTATTTCCCCCTTAAACATCCCCAAGACATATCCTTAAAAGACAATACAAGTAAGCAAAAGCAGCCAAGTCCTACAGCTGAAAAAGGCACATATGTAAAAGGAGCAACCACAATCATGATATCACCTTGCATCCACTAGTTCGTGAGATAAGCTTATCTTACATACTTATACAACACTTGAAATGCAAAAAAAAGAGTGTTAACCTTCATATAGAGCCAAGTCAAGTGGACTACAGACTACGATTAAGGTGTTAAACCACTTGACCCAAGTAATCTACTTTTCACTGAGCAGCAGAAATTCTGCGGAAGCGCACAGGCCTATGTTATAAAATTACGGAAATCTCACACACTAGACCATTGGGTTCGAACTGTAAAAGGTATAAAAATTATAAACCTACACACACACACACACAAAATATAGACGAAGGAGGCTAAAACAGCATCTAGACATGGATGGCTCATGCCTCTCTAAATAAATTACTGATGATCAGGTATCAACTATTAACATTTATGAACTATAAACCATGAACACTGCAGCATGTGATCTTGGATGCTGTTGATCATACAGTACGGCCAAAAGACTATATTTATAATATAAATATAATCCTTTCTCAAATGATGAGATAAGGCCATTCGATTCCAATTTTTAAAAAAGCAAAAAATAATAAATGCGCTGTGCAGAAAGAATTATATATTAACTGCCCTCAAAATGCATGCGTTCAACTAACCAGACAGCGTCGATTGTAATTTTAATAGTTTCTTCATCTTAAAGTGCAAGAACTGATAGACATCGGCGATCGTGGTTTGCCCTTCATTTCTCAGCTCCGATGCTCTAAAAAAAGCTCCAGGTTAAAAGACGTCCTTTGTTGTCACCTATCAAGCTCTTTGAGTAAGCAAGTCTTGGTAGGTGGTTGGCGGGTACTCTGGTGTGGTCTGCTTCTTCTTTCCTATGGAACATCTATCGTCCTCATCTCCCCTTAGAACTTCTTTTTTATGTTTGCTACTGTCTTGTAACACCTCTAACTAATCTTCTGGCGCTCATATATGACCTTATATGCAGTTGTGGAGCGCCGTAAAACCTCTACTGAAACTAAAATAGCAAGTCTTGGTCTACCTCTTGACAAACATGTGGTTTTAAACAATCATTTGCAATGCAAGGTACTTTTCTCGTCTCTCGGCCGAGCTTCTCGACTGCCAAAACATCACTGCAGCTTATAATTTTAGCTTCAGACTGTGAGCACTGTATGTCATCATGTGAACTTGGACGAGGCTGTTTATACAATGTGAACTCGCTGTTTATCTCTTCATCTCATTCACCAGTCGGTGACCTGAATTGCATTTCATGTGGCCTCTGAGAGTGCAATTTCAACAACAGTTAGATCATTTAGAAGGCAGGCTTTGACCCTGCCTCCTGCTTTTTAGGGCCAACCCAGGCTGATAGGGATACACACCCTTCCGGTAGAGAGACTGATGCTCTATATTAGAAAAAAAACTAGCCATACCGGAATCGAACTCATGCCTGCATGTAGGCCAGGCTAATGGTAGTGCCTAACAATAATACCAAAGATGCTGGCCCATATTTATTCTAGTCCAGGTCGCAGGTCAGCGACTAAAAAGAAAACTATCTTGAAAAAATTGGGACATGTACCTCGGATTAAGTAACCGTCTTGAGTTCAATCCACATGCTTCAGAGTTGATCGTACTACACACTGATGATTTGTCTTTCAAGCTTAAAAGTTCATTTATTAAAATTCCAGCCAGAAACAATTTATAATACTTACGCCCATCATCTTGACAGCCTTCTGTGTGATTAGCCAAGTGAAAAACTACAGAAAAAGAGAGAATCAAATCATTTAGAAATTCTGGAAAACAATATACAGATTTCTCTGAATAAAGAATGAAAAATCATTTCAAGAAACAATGATAAAAAATCTAATGAACGTCGTTCATAAAAAAATGGCTTTTTATTTTTAAAATGGTATGGTACAAAAAAACGTCTAATCAGTTTAGATCACCCCCCCCCTCCCCACAACTAATTGGACACATCGGAAATTGCAGTCTTGATATATATTATAATAAAATTCACAAGCTAAACATTTTAAATTCTTCTCTAAACCAATAGAATCGTGGCAATGGTTCTGCATGCTTGCCAAGGATATTTTCTTTTTCACAGTGGCTACGTTCACGCCTCCCTGAATGTAGTTTGCAATTTAAGAATGATCTTGCTCACTTCACCCCCTACCCTTTTCCATTTAGCCCGGAAGAGCCGTACGCAAAGCCACTTCGTTCCATAAAAGCCTTTTGCATTTTGAATTTCTTTTTTCGCTCCTTCACACCCCTCTTCCCGGTTGGCCTTCTTCCATTTCTCCCTTGTTTCTTCGAACGACTTTTATTTTCAAATTGTCGAGCGTTGCCGGGTTCCCACACAGGAAGAGGATCGAAGTCGTGTTCCACTCGCTGAGCGAGCCTGGCTTTGTTTGACAGAGGCTGTTTTGTTGTGCTCGTCTTCGACCTCCGTAAACTCCGTTGCATTCGGACTATCGCTGCATTATTTTTCACACGAGTATTCCTGCACTTTTTCCATATTCACATTCATTTTGAGTTTGAGCGACCGTAGCGTTTCAGTTGAGGCTCTGTGCCAATGGTGGATGATTCAGGGTGCCGTGAACATAGCCTATGTTTCTTTTTTAAAAGTGGTTTTATCCCTGTTACAAGTAACAGTGTTAGCAGTCGTGATACTGTTACAGAGTCCACCTGAGAGAAAAGAGAGTAGTTTGCTTGTCTGTGGAATACAGCAAAAATTCAGAAGCAAGGCCTCCCCCCCCCCCCCCCTGAAAAAAAAAAGACTTTTCACTTTTCAGCCCGTCACCCTGATGGGTTGCTCAGTTTGATTTTGATTGAATGAAGGCAATGACATTATTTGAACTTTACAATATTATTATTCTACCGCATTCATTTATCAAAATGTTCACAAACAAAAGAAGTAGATCTAGATATATCTAGATCTAGATCTAGATTAGATCTATAACTTTGCCTTGCACACAACATAAATCTCTCAACTACTCGCTCCTTCTTAAAACTCAAATTACAGCATGGCAGAGGTGCAAGAGAAAAGTCCAAACTTTGTTTTTCTTGGGACTAGATCTAGACACTAGATCTAGATCTAGGAGCAGTTATGTTTTCCTGATTCTCTAATAGTTAACAAAATAAAATTTAAAGATTGTCTCTTCATTTGTGTGTAAACAATGATCAACAAACAATTCTTCCACATGATCCAGTTCTAATCTATCCCACCAAGTGAAACAGACACGAGCCCATCACGATGATAATCACATCTGAAGGTCTATCCAGACTGAATTCACAGCTCATACTGACTATTATTCAGGTAATTTAAGCAAGTCTTGGTCTGTTTAGGGCTTGGGTGAAACAGAAGAAAAAAATGTTGGCGTTGGTATGGTGTTGTTGGATGTGTTCCTCACACAATCACTATCACAACCTTGATTGAGTAAAACTGCTTCGGTTGACGAAAATATAAACTTTTAAAAGAAGAAACTGTTTTTAATTGCCATCCAGCTGCCCACTTGCACTAATATTCTGTTTGTCTATCGCTTCACCTCAGATAATAACGGCCTTCACAGCCTCCAAGAGTGTGCATTACACTGGAAATCGTAGTATGTTTAACTTGATTTGGCTCAGCTGACTAGTGACAAGTGAGTCGTGAGTCGTGACTGCTGCAGACTAGAAGAAAAGTACCCCAGCTGTAGCGAGTCATGTGACTAGTCATGTGACTTATACTATTGCCGATTGTCGTTAGGCCTAATTTTTTTTGGGGGGTCAACTGCAATTGGTAGGCTTATGGTTTTTCCTCGAGGCCAGTTCTGTAATAGGAGATAAATATCATGTTTTGGCAGTATGAAATATGTTCATTCCTTTTTTTGTACTAAATCTAGTCAACAAAGGATCCTTACTTCAAAACAGATTTTTTTGCCAGTAGATATTGGCAACTTTTCTGAAACGAAAACACACGAATAACTGGCATACATGGGGAAGTGTTCACACCAAAGTGGGCGGCACCTCCAGTCAGCTCGGTTCAGTAAGTAATTCATAATATCTATACACCTTCAATCATTAACGCCAACGCAAATGTCTTTCATGCTTCAAGGGTTGCCTTCAAAGAGAAGGTTTAGTTGTGTACACATTTTTAAAAATATTCTGTCGTCATCCATGTTAAGAAGGGAGTATTTAGAGTAATTTCAAGGCTCCCAAGTATCCGTTTCTAGTGTCAACAAAAAATGACATCCAGACAAAACTCAGAATAAAGCATGCGATCGAAAGGCTGAAAAGTGATGTTCTTTTAGACCATTATCCTTATGTTACAAAAAAAAAACAGTATTAAAAAATTATTGAAGACAATCAGCCAACTGTTGAAAAGTGATATCTGCTTTATAATGTGTATACGGTACATCGATCAATATCGCCTTGTTCTCTGTTCTCATGTAATCTCAAACAGGGGAGGTATTATCTCCCCTTCCGTTTTATTACCTGTCTCACCTTAATTAGTGGTGGGTACGCCCGCAGGTGGGGCGACAGCAAGGAGTTTATACAGTGATATAAAAGATACGAAGTTAATTATACATGCACAAACAGAAGTACTCCCCCCCTCCCCCTCTTATTGTTAATCTCTTTTGAGCTCAACATTTCATCCTTTATATTTTATGTAGTTCAAAATGTTACCTAAAAATATAATAATATATTTTTTAGGATCCAATAAAATATATTGTTTGAATAATAGCTTTTTTTGTGCTTAAAAAAACAACAACAAAAAACAAACAAAGTAAAATAAGACAATGGTGGGCCAATAGGGTAATCCATGGAGTGCTTATTTTGGAGGGGTTCTACAGGCTTTCCTTATATATCTCACGATGCTTTTGAGATGAATGTAAGACATTTGGGTGTCTTTGAGCTAGCTGTATTGGACAGGTTAAGATCAAACGTCAAACTGAAAGTATGGGGCTCTGTGTTATATCCCCAGCTCTGCTTTACTTCAGAAAGTGTCCTTGTTCTGTCTTTCTCCCTTTAATTCTTTTAGACTGTCAGTGTTTCGTTGAAAACAAGAGAATTTCACTAACTGGAAAAGTAGAATGTATAGTTATTATGATTAAATGATCTAAATTGTATTTTATAATATAAAGTTATTATGATTAAATGATCTAAATTGTATTTTATATTATATTGTCTCTGTAGATTGTTGAACTTTTTCCCATGGATGATGTTTGTCTGAATTCTATTGTCCTCTTTGTTTGTTGCTTCTATTGAGTCACAATCAAATGAGGTAGTGCTTGATGAAGCCCACGTGGGACGCTCAATGTTAAAAACAATCAGGAAACGACGAATGCAGTTTTTGGGACACCTGAATAGACATAAGGGTCTTGTACATTTAGCTCTCTCTGGCAAAATTGAAGGCAAACGAGGCAGGGGTAGGCCCAGAACTATCTACTTGGGGAACCTAAACTAATGGGTAGTAGGGAAAGATCAAGGTAAGATAGCTTTTTTGAGAGCATCCGAACAAAGGAATGAATGGAGAGCCATGATGGCTGATTTCTGCCACAGATCTGGCACTGGATGATGATGATGATTGAGTCTCAGGTTGCAGTTTTGAGATTCGGGTGGCTACAGAAAAATTCTTTTGCTTATTTAGTAGTCAATTTTTTTTCATAGAGTCTTGTCTGTAGCTATTCTAATTGTGGACTACCGTCGAGCGTTGCCGGGTTCCCACACAGGAAGAGGAT